GTTGGAAAAGTGGGGATCGTCTTGTACATGGGGGCGTCTTATTGATGGAAAAATATGGTAATACTATTCTGAGTTTTGAGTAAACAACAAGCCAGATACATTTTTTGCAGTAACATGTAGTTTGCCACCTAAACATGAGGGCTGTAACAAGGCATGCATTTTTTGGAGTGGCCATTCCTGCATTATATCCTCAGAGAGCAGATAAAATCTGTCATAAAAGTTATGGTATCATTTAGGTTTAAATAGCTTTCTAAAAAAATAATGTAACTTAAACCTAGAAACAGAATAGGGTTTTCCAATCTGACCAACTTTCAGATGAGGGGGTGTCAGTTCCCAAAATTCTCAGCAATGGCCATTGTTGTAAGGGCAATCCCCTCCCAGCCTCTCATCCCAGGCAAAGTATACTGCCTTTGCCCCAAAGCAGGGAATGTGACGTGCTCTGGCTCGCATAAGCAAGAAGATATTCCTGCCTAACCCCTCCTGGTCCAAGTTAAAAAAAAATCTTGCCTATTTGCAACTGAGAGAGCTGGAGTGGAATGAAAACAAGGAAGAAGATGTGCTGGGATGGAAAAAGAAGGGGAAAGCTAAGATTAGTCAGACCCAGATTTAAGCTCAGAATTTCCAGAAGACTAAAAAGCAGGTACAAGTAAAATTGAATCCTTCTGATTCAAAGGAACTGTTACTTGGGAGACATTTCCTTTTGTTATTTTCACCCATTTCCCTAACCTATCTAAGATTGTTTTGGAGTTTTATTTCTGCCTTCTAAAGCATGAGCTATCTCACTCAATTTTATGTAATCTGAATTTATTTTAATATGCTAAACTAATCAACAGAAGTAAAGCAAAAACTAACAGCATTGTTTTTGTTTCTGATGCTTATTTTATTTATGCAAGTTCAGTTATTGTATGTTTGATGCACCTTGGGAACTCTGTGCAGCAGGGTTTCCTATATTAAGAGCAGATCCATTCCATGATCAGCCCTAAACTTATTGTGTCCTCTGTAGCATTCTGTGGGAGATCCCCGTCTGTGATTTTAGCAGCACTATGGTGTTTTTTTTTAATCCAATCTTGATTGTGTTTTCATATGACTATTTAAAGCAACGGAGGGAATTTTTACTTTCTATTCTTTCTTTTTCTTTTTAAAAATGTTATTTATCATTTGTGAGATTATCTCTAAAAGAGGGGGTGGGGGGCTGATTTCCTTAATCATGCACCTCACACTATAGTCCTGGGAGGTGTGCTATAAAATTTATTTCATTTTTATCTGCTTGTTGTTGTTGCTGTTGTTGTTATTTGCTAATAAGGATATAGGATGTGGGATTCCTATCCATCCCACATCTCAGCATTAAGGAGGAGGACACCAGGTAAAGGCATCCTCCTAGAAGACAGGCAATGGCAGCAGTAACAACCAAGCAGCTACATCAGGGAGAAACACAGGGCCAAAGGGTGTACAATTCAGAAGACTTCTGGGAAAGGAGGGTTGACAGGAGACGACAGGATGACAGAGTTTTCTGCAGAAGCTCTACCTGCCAATAAAACAACTTATACTTTGAGCTCTACTTTCCCTGTATAAAAAGGGGCCTTTTTGACTAGGTGGTGATAACAGATGGTCTTGACCCATCTGCTAAGGGTTGAGTGGATTCTTTCACTTTTTAATCATGAAGAGAAGTGGGAGAGAATTTAAACTCATTGCTCTATGGGAGAAGACAACCACATGCAGCATATGAGTCCTCCATCTCCCTCTCAGGCCCTTTCACTCTCTGACCTGTGGGTTGGGCCTTTGTTTCTACTGAGAGGTCTTTCTGTCAGAGACCTGACAGGCTGCTGAGGAAAGGCACCGGGGGAGACCCATTGTTTCAAGCACTGTCAACACAGAGTATCGGCGATGGCAGCCTACGTCACGCTCTTTGCTGCCTTGGTCATGGGGGGAAGCATATTCCTGGGATAACAAAGGAGGGTGTGGTTCAGAAAGTGCAAGGAAAGCTCCTTCCCCGCAGCACCCATTCTCCCCTGCCCAAGAGAAGGAAAATACTTTCCCTGCAAACCTGCTGACAATTCCTATCTAAACAGGCTCCAAGAAGATACAGAGATACAAACTATGCACGATATCCTCAGGGTGAGATGAGGATCTTCAGTTTGCTAGACGGATCCAGTAACAGGCCCTAAGCACGTATCTTGCCAGCTTGCAACATACCTTCTTTTTGGACTTGAAAACATTGCAGCGGAAGGTGTTACTGGAGCCATCCCTGGCGATATAACTGAAGATCTTGAGGTCCTGGGAATCGTGGGACACATAAAATATCCTGCAAGAATAATAGAGCTGCATGTGCATGTATACATATCACACGGGAAACAGGCTATTCTGCCACTGTCTTAGAGAAAAGCAGGGCAAGTCCAGGTACAGGTACTGATTAACTGATTGTCATTAATACTGGCAAAGAGGATCACATCTTTCCAATACTACCATTTTGCAATTTATTTCTTTCCTTCACTCTACTACTTACACACTTTTCTCTTTTAATCAGGATATTTTATTATTATCTTCTAATATGATTAACACACTGGAATAATGGTCCAATGCTAGCCATTTCTGTTTTGTGAACAGATTGGCTCTTAAAATGCATACAGTCAGTTACCAATTGCCATTTTTTGTCATGAAGGCCATAGCTGCAGCATGATAGAATTACAATCTGAATTCCAGAATTCTATCTCACAGGATTACTAGTGCTCCCACTGGTAGAATTTCTGTGTGTAGGGTGCTCATGTCCTGAAGCATGAAGGTGGACTGGTGGGAAGAGAAGACTAAAACAGGGACTACTCCTCAAAGTCACTGTCACATCAAGACCTAGAAACCTCTACCTAGTGCCAGCTTGGTCTCAAGTCCCAATCTGGATTCATTCTGGATTGTGTACAGAGTCCAAATGTCATATAATCTGGAACAAAATGACCTGGGGATAGAGACGCAAACCCACATAATGGATAATCAGCTCTATCTACTGCATTTTCTATCTTCTCCTTGAAACCCTCTCAATAGTCCCTTCTGCAAAAGCACCCCTTGCCTAAGTCATTGGAGACTTGCCTATGATATGCATACTGCTAGTGGTTAACTCTTCCTCCGCTCAGAGGCCAATACTGAACAGTGCTGCTGCCAATTGCCACGCCTTCCTCGCTCACAACTCTCACCTGTAGATTGGGTCATGCATCACCAGCAGCTTGCTCTCATCCCAGTCCCACTCTTTCTTCTGTAAAAGAGAGCTGCGTATAAGCAGGACAGATGCTTCACTGAGTGACATAAAGTTTATAAAACTCCTAAGGAAGTGATTGTCCTTCAAACAGGGTTACTACGGAACCAAGCACTTTCACAGCTACATTGTCCTGGTCTTAAACAGTGGAAGACCAAACTTTGTCCAACCCATTTTGCAAATAATTACCAGTGAATGGGGGGGGGGGGGGGG